TATTTGTACAGTTCGGCACATAAAATAAGTTTGGTAATTTTTTTGTTGAATTTGGTAACTTCTTCCAGTGATTTTGGTAAAAAATAAAAAAATTTTGTTGCAACACTGCACGCTACCCTCTGCCAAGACGTCCTGGACTCATCGCTTCCAGCTCGGACGAAACGGTAGATGACCAGCTATCTGTGTGGCCGTCAGTCATCAGTCGAATTCCGAAACGCCAAGTCCACGCCGCGAAGAATTAAACAGGGGGTCCCTTTGCGAACAAATAACCGACTATCTCACCGATCTTTCCAATTTCTTCACTGCAAGGAGCCTCCAAATCTCCGCCGCAAAATCCAGCGCCACACTTTTTACAACCTGGACCAAGGAGGTGGGGCTAGAACTGGACGTCTTCGTCGATGGCGCCAAAATACCGACGACTAATCACCCTAAAATCCTAGGAGTGACGTTCGATAGCCTCTTCTCCTTCTCCGCGCACGCCACAGCCACATGCAACAAACTCCGGGCCAGGAACAAAGTCCTCAAATCGCTAGCCGGCAGCACCTGGGGAGCCGACAATGAAACTCTGCTCGCGACTTACCAAGGCAATTGGCCGGTCAGTTGCAAACTACGCGGCACCAGTGTGGACGACGGGGACAAGCGACACCCGGTGGAGGAATCTCCAAACCTGCCAGAACGCAGCTCTACGTACGGCTACAGGCTGTCATCTCATGTCGTCCGAGCATCAAGACAATGAAGAAAGCCAGATGCTGGCGGCAAAAGAACACAACACCATGCTGTCGAAGCAATACCTCGATGGTTGTCACCCACCCCAACAACGCCTTGCTTCGAAACGAACCGCCCCACGACACGTGAGACGACACCTGCACGACTGGAGGGCAGACATTGAGTCGTACGTAGACCATCCATTCGACGCAGCAAGATACAGAGCGGCGCTCAACATCCTACACAGCGATGCGGTCAGAACAAGCCTCAGCACGCGCCATGACAACATCGTCTTAGGTGATCGACCGCCGCCCATAAATTTAGAGGAATCTGAACTGCCGAGAGAGACCAGGTGTACCCTAGCACAACTCCGTTCGGGGTGGTGTCACCGACTCAACAATTAACTCTCCCGGCTACTAAATTCACAAGTGGCAAACACCTACCCCGCATGTGGGAAAGGTCCCCATGACACCCGGCACCTTCACATGCACCTCCAACCCTACGACCCTGACACCAGAAGCGCTCTGGACCGCGCCTATCGACGCTGCCCGCTTTCTCGGCCTCAGGCTTACAGTCGGAGGATGAAGACGACGATACATGACAGAACCTGGGGGTTGAGCACTGCTGCTACAACAACAACAAGAATAGTGCTCGGCGACGGAGTCTCTCTCCCACCACAAATCCAACACCGAATTCGAGCTCCTTTATATGGCAGCTGTAGTAGACGTCGCAAGGCCCCAGACATTTTTTGCCTTGCCCCGTCCAACGCATTTCTTGAATGGCGGTTTCAAAAACATCGCCAGGGAACCTGCAGGACATGCCTTAAGTTCCGCTCCGCAAACTATACGGTCACCATGCATCGGTGGAGAGGGTAGATCCGGCTAGTCAAGACAGATTTCAGGCCACCAAGTAGGGGGGGGAGTGTGAGGACTAAATGTCCCTGGGGAATTTAGCCCCCACAAACTGCCACACCACCAATCAAACCAGTAGCACAACAACGCAAATCAGAGAAGCCAGTCGCGCAACAAACCACAGCAACACAAATCAGCACAACCGGCCACGCAACAAACCACAGCAACACTCAACAACCTCTTCGTTGCCATGCCAACACAACATCACACCGCAACCTGTAGCTGCGCGACCACGCAACATCAAGCTGCCTTTTAAAGATACAACACAGCCGCTCAACAGTCAGTCAGGACGGAGCTGTGGCTGCGACAACAACTACGACTGAACGGGGATTTCTTGTGGCAAAGATAAATATCAACACAAGACATCGCCACTTCAGAAGTAGAGGGCCGTGCCAGCGTACCTTATGCCAGGGGAAGTAGACAATATATATTTCCTTCCCCGAATTTAAGATCGCAAATATAGGCTTCGATCACCGCTCGCCCGCGGTCAGCACCGCCGTCAGTAGAGGGACGTTGACAGCGCCTACAAGAGCGCTACTCATCGTCGTCACCAGAGCGCTATACACCGACGCGACTAGAGCGCTGCTCACCGGCACTATTCACCACCCTCACCAGAGCGCCGCTCGCCGGAGCGAAAAGAGAGCGACGTCATCAGAGCGATATTCACCGACGCAACCAGAGCGCAACTCTCCGGCGTCATCAGAGCGCCACATACCG